CACCGGAAAACGGCTGCGAGGAGTCTAGCCGGTTTCCCAAGGTCAAACCATGGATTCTTTTGAGCTCGATCACTACTCCTCCTAAAAACTAACCGAAAATCGAAATGGATGTCGTAAAAGTAAACATAATACTTTATCGTTTAGGAGCAGATTGATGTGAAATAACAAATTTTGAATTTTTTACCGAATTTTTAAGTTATGCAAATTTTACCGATTTTCAAGAACTCAAAAATAGCGCGACTTTAGAGGCCAAAATCGCCAACTGGACAGCCTGACTGATCAAAGAAACAATATTCCTGTAAAAGAACGTTGCTTCGAATTTAAATTTCTGCAATAAAATTTTTGGGCTACTTAAAAGAAAATATTTTAGAGCGCCGAACGTGAGTGACCTTGAAGTGAARACTAGACCCTGACAGCAGGGTGTASTCGTGCCGTTTTTGTAAATAGAGTAATAAAGTGATGACGTCACAAAACGAAAATGTTTGAGTTTTTAAATTTGCCCTCAATATTTTGAAAGTGSATCATTTTTAATGCATCCTTGCTAAATATGAGTGTCTTAGTGTCATTTGTAGCGGAGATACAAGCGATTTTATGGTCGGGTGACCACATAAAAACGCTTGTAAATTTGGTCTTGCTCATAACGAAAGGAACAAGAACAAATTTACAAGCGTTTGTATGTGGTCATCCAACCATAAAATCGTTTGTATCTCCGATATAAATGGCACTAGAAAAATGAAATTTGGCAGATAGCTACTTTTTTCCATGCGCTTTAAGGATATGTCAACGAATCCGAAAAATTCGAAAAAAACTATTTCTGTGAAGTCACACACGAGCATTTTTGTCAAGAAGCCACGGAATGGCTAAATAAAATGGCACGAACATAGCCTCCTCCACAGGCAACTCTTTTTTCCTCCTTTGGGCTTTCCTTTGTAACGGTCATTTTGGCCGTTAGGGACTAGTGACGAGATCACACGCTCCCCTTTTCTCGCCCCCATTCTCCCTCTTCTGACTCCTCAAAAAGACAGGAAGCCCGTGATTCTTAGTGATGCCTGCGGAGGAGGCTATGTACATCCGTTTCTCACCCCTCGGAGGGGTGAGAAACGGATGTACACAGGCTAACTTGAACTATGATTATGTAGCGACAGCGATTACTTGCGGTAGTCCTAATTTTAGCCTTTTCTTGCATTTGTAATAGCATAAGAATTTATTCACTTCCTATAGATTGGTAGACTAAAAGCATCCGTTTTGGGGTGTCGTCTCCTTAATTTTAGTATCAGTTTTAATAACACGTCCTAACAAACCTAGTTTAGTGTAGTCTCAGAAGTCAAACGGAGAGGAGCAACAACGAACGGAGAATTTAATCCCGCGGTGACAAGATCAGACGTAAGTCTATTCGTTTTCATATTTTATAGTTGTACCGTCAATGTAAGTTAGCAATAGAAGTTTGTAGTAATTTTCGCGATTTTACGCATTCTAGTTTTWACCGCACAAGTGAGTCAACGTGTAACAGGCAGTTCGTTACGCTAATAAACACGAATACCCTTCACGACTCAGGCGGCTAAATACCAGAAACAAAAACCCTCAACTTGGCGCGAAACATTGTTTCTGTTCAAGTTGAGCATCGGTGTTTCTCGTTTTTCACGATGTATTTTTTGTTGCATAACAAGTTGACGATACATGAAAAACGAGAAACTTTGATACTCAACTTTAACAGAAACAATGTTGCGCGCCAAGTTGATGGTTTTTGTATCTCGTATTTAGCCGACTCTAAGGTGGTTAATCCGGCGAACTCCGTTGCCCAACACCACGTGTCTTCGACATCGGGAACGCGACAATTTTTTTKCGTAAACTTTTTTTCAATCTAAGACCTGGYCATGCATAGAAGTTTATAACCAACCAATCAACCAACAAACAATAAAACAGATCAGACAGATGCATATCTAACAAACCTTTCTCCATAAGCAAGATCAAAGTTCTCTATTTTAATATCTCTTGACTTGTTTGTGCCACTGGCTTCAAGCTTTGCTTCTCTTCTATTTGCACTTTGACTGGCAGTAGCACCATCCATTTCACTAGCAATAACAATGATTACAAACAGTTGTTATCATTATATATATCAGACAAAATAACATTTTTTGTCACCAATGTGTCGAGGCACTAAATGGTACAGTGAMACATTTAATATTAGAGAATTACACATTATGCAC